TAATGTCAGGGCTTCTGACACCAGGCAGTCTTTTCTATGTGTTTGCCGACACAATAACAATTCCTTAATAATAAAAGGGGCGAGCGAAGTAAGTTAAACTAATTTATTTGTCCCTTACTTTGGTACAGTGATGGTTGTACAATGTTAAAATTAGAGGTTCTGATTAAGTGAAGGTCTAAACTGCAACTGACTGATTGACTGACTTGAGTATGTTTTTAAATATACAACTGTTTTTACCCCCAAGATGCTTTTAGACATTTTTTACTTACGGTATTCGTTGAGACATAGAAAAATAAGGTTGAGAAGTGAAACTGCAATAAATCTATCAATAATGAATTTTGAAACTGAAATGGATATGTAAAAGAATCTTGAGTTTTCTCACAAGCGATAAACTAGAGGTTTTAAGTACACAGATGACAGAAACAAGCGAACAGCAATAGAATGAAATATGAGAAAAGGGGTGATTTTAAGCTAGACCAGGCTACAAATTAATGACACAAAAAAATGGAAAACGAAATGAATACAAGTTACAAGAAATATGATATAAGGTTAAGATTAGTGTTATTTGAAAGAAGTTATTGAAAAGTGCACTTTTAACATTAGATACATAACTTTGGTATTAAATAACATGGACCAGTGATAAAATATGAGAGGTATCTAACAGCACTGTAATTTAGATTTTTATTCTAAGTAATATTAAACTAAATTGATATATTGTCACGTATACCTGTAATTTTGGTTTGTTGAAAATCATCTTCTACAACATGAACTTGTAATGTATTATTATGATTAGGTCCGCTATTTAAAACTATCTATGTTTCTTAAAAATTCTTTAGTTTACAAATGTTATAAATAATAATTTGTCAGTGTCTCACTAAAATCATCGTCGTTTTCTTGGGCGTATTAAAAGTTAGGATCAAAATGTATTTCCGTCCATGATTTACCTTTATATTCTGCTAGAGGACCTCCTTTTTCCATCATTAAAAGTATTTTTTTTTAAACTGTTGCAGTTTGATACATATCAACGGAAAGTCTGCAGAAATTATTGGAGTTCATCAACAAAAATGAACCCGTTCTGTTTATTTAATAGACCAAATTTATATCCAATTCAAAATGATGCATAGATGTTTAGTCTAAGCTCTTGAAATTTGAACGTAACAAAATCTCAAGAGTTGCATAAACTAACGAAGGTAATGCTAGAAAAATTTACTGAAGAATGTATTAGTTAGTTAAAACTGTGAGATCGTTCGATTAAGTCGTTTTTAAAACTTAGAATAAAATTACTCCAACTTGATCAAGTTGTTTTATTTATCATCTGTAAATAAGAATTCTGCCAATAGAAATTTCGTTAATTTATACTTTCGTAACCAAAAGTTGAAAAAAATTTAATTGCGTATTTATTTAGCCATTAAATCTTTAAATAAACAGTTTGCTTTAATCCTAAAATTAATATATATATATCTTATTTGACATGGTACACTCTAATACTCGCTCATAAAATTCTTCATGTGTTTTTAATCTGTGACCCATGAAATCGGAAAATTGTTTAATTTCACCTTTAGTCAAATTTAGAATTTACATCACTGTTGCGATTTACTTTCTCAATTTGTTACTGGAAAAAGCTTCAGCATTTTCTAACTCAAGCTTCTTCGTAAGATTTGTTATAACCACTTCCTCTTTTCTCTATTTGATTGTACTATTTGGAATTGCAAAAACATATTCATTGTCGGATGAAATATATTTATTCCTACTTTTTGGCAAAATGTTCATAAAGTCTCGTAACACGTCTGGTATTAGTATTACTACAGCTCTAGATATCTTTCCACTATTAACTACTCTTTTGTATATTTTTGTTAACAACGCGACAGTCGAGTCATATACTATTGAATACAATATGAACCCGTGTTGCCTCGGCTTTCGTGCGAGGTGCTTGGTATTACGTTGGACTCTTGTAAGCGTATGAATTTCTGAGATGGATGATCAAATTCCAGGCCCATTCAGACTTAAAAGAATGAAAATAAACAAGCCCTGAACGTTGGAGGAACAAAATGCACTAATCAATTTTTCTGAAAGCGATGAAGAACCATTTTTAGAGAGCGAAAATGAGTTCGAGCCATCCGAGTCTGGCTTCAGTGACGGGGAAGAAGATTTTGAAGATGTACCTGATGTTTTTGCTGGCGTGGGTGATAGTGAAATAAACGTGGACCAACCGAATTATCGTGACCCAGACCGTGAGATACCTTCGTGGGGCGATAATCATGACTCCAATGACTTTCCATTTTCGGGGAATCCTGGTCTCAAAGTTCACATTGAATCTAATGAACCAATAGACTTTTTTCGTTTATTTCTTACGGGCGAGTTTTTAGAAAATGTCGTAAGGGAATCCAACAACTATGCCGAAGAGTTGTTTCTAAGCATACAAACGAAAGAAAAGTCAAGAATTACTGACTGGAAACCTTTAACAGTTCCCACCTTAAAAATTTTTTTGGGACTATGGCTTCATATGGGCAATATTAGGATAAACCGTTTACAAGATTATTGGAAAACGGATGACTTGTACGATTTGCCTAGTTTCCGAAGACATATAAGTAGAAATCGTTTTTTTAACGATTATTACTGCCCAACAAATTTAAACTTTTTGAAATTTTCCAAGAATATTATTATTACATTTGAAGTATTATGGTGTGATTATTTCAAAAATCACACTAGCATTTGCGTAGCAGCTCTAGTTTTCGAGATTTTTCATTCTACCCGCATTTAAAGTGACGGTGCATTATTCGTTAATTTTAAACGGGTACATTAAAAAAAAATTGGCAGTTATAGGGACTGCCGATAGAAGTGAAAACTTAGAACTTTTAGTATTAAAATTTGAAATTTCAGAATGTTTGAATAAAAATTATCAACANAAAATTGGCAGTTATAGGGACTGCCGATAGAAGTGAAAACATAAAACTTTTAGTACTAAAATTTGAAATTTCACAATGTTTGAATAAAATTATCAACATCAATCTGGTTTTCACATCTATTGACAATCCGAGCAACAATTATATGCATGTTAATATGGTTTTCTATTATTCAAATATTTACATAAATTTCAATGTACTTGATTTTTAACATTGCTTGCATTATTGTCATCATTAATTTCAACAATTCTTAGACTTTTTGTACTTTCAATTATTTTATTGTGTTCTAAAAAAAATACAATAGGCTTATGGTAACTAAAGTAAGAAATGAAAACGTTTGATTGAAATTTATCTAAGTATCGCGTAAAAACCGCATCGATCGTCGTAGCTGTATAGCTACAGATATACTCAGATATTGCTACAAGCATGTCGGTGACGTGAACGCACTAGATTTCACCCATCCAAAAAGCGTCTAACGTCTACAGCACACGGCCGCTGCGCGTGCACCAGTCGTGAGCATGTCGGTGACGCGAACCCATAACATTTTCCCCTGCCAAAAAGTGTACAACGTCGCTAAAGAAGTTTTCACTTCAAAAATCACAATTAAAACAATGGCTACGAAGGGAAGACGTTGTTTAAATGATCCAAATAGTGTTTGTGTTATTTGTGGCTTATATACCTTCGGAAAGTATCGTAAATCGATCACGGCCTTCGTAAAATCTGCATACTTTAACTACTTTGAAGTGAATATTTGCAATCTGCAGAAGCCATGGATGCCAAATATTGTTTGCCAGCCCTGAAGTTCAAGACAGCCATGATTTGGCGGGAACTTCGTAATCGTCATGATGATTGCTTTTCTTGTATGGTAAATATTACGGGCATAAACTCTGCAAATTGGGATAAGTGGACATATCCGACGTTGTCTTCTGCTCAAAGGCCTGTCACATACACCGACCAGTCACCAGTGCCAGTACCATCGACATCATCAACATGTTTTGAACCGGATAACATGGAAATTGTAGAAGAAAAGCATGAATCTGACTGTGATTTTATTCCCAGTCAAGAAACAAATCCTCAACCATTCAATCAAAAAGAGTTAAATGACTTAGTACGGGATTTAAATCTATCTAAAGTCTTCCTAAATTTTAGCATCTCGTTTGAAAGAAAAAAATCTACTAACGACAGATACAAAAGTTACATTTTATCGTACTCGTGAAAAGGATTTACTGCCATATTTTTCCTCTAAAGAGAATTTAGTTTACTGTAATAATGTTGAAGGTCTTTTCAACCAAAGAATGGATGAAGTTTACTATCCCAATAAAAATCTTTCACTGGATGAGTCAATGGTACTTTGCCGAGGTAGGCTTACTTTCCGGCAATATATAAAAAACAAAAAACATAAATTTGGAGTAAAACTTTATATATTATCTGAGCCTAATGGTCTCGTATTGAAAATTAGGATATATACCGGCGACGAAAGAGATATGCAGGGAGAAGTAGGACATGCAGCAAACGTTGTGCTGACCCTTGCACAAAAATATTTCGGAAACGGACATTCTCTCTTTATGGACAATTATTATAATAGTGTGACTTTATACAGAGAGCTAATTTAAAAAAAAAACTGATGCTACGGGTACCTTGAGGCAGAACAGAAAAGGAAATCCACCAGAAGTGTGTAGTATAAGTTAATGGTAAAATAGAATTAAGAAAGCGTAGTTAGTAGTATTATTATTCTTATTTTAGTTGTAAGTGTTTGTCTAAGTTTAGTGTAGGTAGAAAAAGGGACGGTATGGTTTTTGGGTTGTTTGTGAAGAGAGAACGTTGGCATGTTAGCAATTTTTAAGGAAAATGACGAAGAAACAGACACCAAGGGGGGAAAAGGGGCATCTGCAAGGGTGCGGATGTAGCAGGTAGCAGCAGTCGATGGTTACCGCTGTAACAATTAAGAAGTATCTTTGTACATTTTTGTAAATAAACCTTTAAGAAAATCAGCCTTGTACTTATTCTCACTAACTGTGAAATAAACATCTATTAATTAAATATATCATACTACAAGTGTTATCTAAAAAATTAAAGAAAAGTGAAAGTATAACGAAATATTCAAGCGGGATTGCAGTTGGAAAATGGAAAGACAAAAGGGAACTACAGAGTTTGGTGGTGAATTAGCAAATACGAAAAACAGACGAAGAAAAGAAAAACAAAAACCAAACGCTATCATTCATTATAATAAAAATATGTCTGGAATAGACAGGCAGGATCAAATGCTGTCTTGTTATATGAGCGAAAGAAAAACAATTAGGTGGTACAAGAAAATTGCCATTCTTAACGCTTTTTACCTGTACAATACCTATTCTACAAAACAAAAACTAAATTATTATGATTTTCGGCACTGCATTATAAAAAACCTGTTGTCACAAGCGGAAATCTGCCGCTGATAGGTACAAGAAAAGAAATAAAGACGAGTAACTTCTCCATACTTCAGAGAAATATCATTTGGATGATAACGGACGCCAGAAGAGAAGGCGGTGCAGGGTGTGCTATGACAAGAAAATCCGTAAGGACCCCATATTTTTGTCCTGGTTGTCCCGACAGTAACCTGCCGTTTTTACATACATATCTGCATTTTCATTGGTAACAACCTGCCCCTTTCTTTTTATTTTTTCATTCACAGCCTTTGGCAGAAACCAGCCCTTTTTGTTAGGCATAACTTTCGGCAGCAACATGCCTTTTATTTCCAGAAGTCGCTATCTCTCAATTAAAATTTACACAATTTTTATTGTTGCAATTTAAAGCTACAAATCTTAATGTCGTTTTGCATGTTTATATTTTTTTAGTCAAAGCTGTCAAAATTGTCAGAAATATCAGGTACACTACAATACCGACGCAAACTATCAGCTGCTACAATAGTCTTAAAACTCTTGTAACCTCGTAACCCCTTAACACTTCTAATCTCATACCTGTTGTAATACTTTTACGATAATGTAGGGACTAGAATACTGGCAATCAAGTTTCGCCCTTTTTGTACTGATTAGATACTGTGTGTTTCTTATCGTATCTCTCTTTCATTTGCATAGCGATCTTTTCCATAGCCCTGCTCGCACCTTTGCGCCTAATGTAACCGAACATTAACTCTTGTACTTGAATTTACTGTTATTTATTTCCCATGCTATATTTTTCATGTCTATTGATGGTATTATTGTATTACATCAACCCTTAGTGATAGAAAAAGCAATGAAACCGCGATGTTTCAAAAGAGTGAAATCGTTTTCTACTGATTATCGTGCTAACAAAAAAGCTTGGATGACAACCGAACTTTTTAACAATTGGCTTTTAACAGTTAATGGGAACATGAAACGACAAAAGCAGAACATTTTAGTATTTTTAGACAATTGCACTGTCCACAACTGTCCAACGTAGAACTCTACTTCTTTCCGCCGAATACAACTACCAAATTGCATATCAGTGTTACAAATTTTATGGAAATCTAATAACAATCGCGAAAGTTTTGTCATCCGGCTGTCATCATACTGCAAGCGTATGCAATGCGTTCTCTATTGTGTTTTTTAGGTATGAATCGCCTAAATTGGTTATTAGTAAATCTTTTTTTGCTTCTAAAAAAATTTGATCACCCTTCATTAAATCAATCACCTGAAGTCGGACAATTGTTTTTAAAATTAATAAATTATAAAAAATATTACGAATTACCTGTTTTTTGACATTCAATTGTGAAATTACGTTTGTAAGATCCGCTGCCCAAGCTATCAGTGTATGAGAAGAAGACACAAGATTTTTTCTTTTTCCTGTTATTACAGTATCATTAGAAGTGAATACAGTGCATGATTTCACATGACATATATCAAACAACCCTTCACAGTACACATATGAAATGTAGTCAGCATCTTCTTGTACATATTTGAAACGTTGTCGGTTGTGTCTAACCGTTCCTTTCAAATAGAAATTGGTACCATTCCTAAGTAAACCTAGCTTTTTGTACCTGGGATGCGGTAGGGAAAGCCCTAATTGGAAAAAATTCCAAATGAATTTTTATGTAATAACTGCATTTTCCGCTAGGCTGGTTGGAGGTTTTTTTTTGCCGATTTAATCCTTTTATGTCGAGGTCCATTCTAATCCCTTACATCATAAAGAGAAGATGCAATAGCATTATTAATGACATGATCCGGTAAATCATCATCTAGTTTTGAGAAAGTTTTGGTCAGCACGCCTGGAGAAAAAAAATTTTTATTACTTTTTTAAAAGTTTTGCAAAGAATTTTTTCAAATAGTACATTTATACTCCATACAAAGTTGTATAGTCAAACACATAAGGTTTATTTTTACTTGGTGTTTTTAAGTTATACATACTACAGCCATCTCTAGTTACAAGCCGTGCTGAAGGTAGGTACCCGAGTAAAAATAATTCATTAATTTTTCACTCAACTAAAATACCGCCAAATTAGCACCGTAAATTGTTCCAAAAAACGACGAAAAAAGGCCCGTTTGCAGGACTAAACCTCCGAAATAGCGCCGAAATAGCACTAAAATAGCACCGCATTTCAGTAAACCGCCAAAAAAGCACCGAAAAACCGCCGTTTTTCTACTAAAAGAGCGTTGGAACAGTACTCTTCTCGCATGAAATAACAAAAACTGATTAATTATTAATTAACTTTTATTTATGTTATAAAGTATTAAAGATTCTGAATATTGTAACAACTATCATTATTATTTGAACTATTATTACTATTGTTAATATTATGATTAATGTTATTATTACTTATTTTATTATTGCTATTTTCATAATAATTATGTGGCTGTGCATTATATTGTTGATGATACGGCTGATAATAATTTGGGTTCGGATAATTATAATATTCATGATAATTTGAATACTGCGGAGGTACATGATGTAGGTTAAATGGAACGCTGTATGGCGATGGATATGAAAAATTTAATTGATTAGGATCATTAGGTGCAGGATAAGTAAAATTTGGAGATGTATGTTTTAATGATGATGTTGGTGTTGGTTCTGATGATGATGTGGGTGCTAGTTCTGATGATGATGCTGGTGCTGGTTCTGATGATGACGGTGGTGATGGTTCTGATGATGACGGTGGTGCTAGTTCTGATGATGACGGTGGTACTCGTTCTAAAGATAACGGTGGTACTGGTTCAGATAATGACGGTGGTACTCGTTCTAAAGATGACGGTGGTACTGGTTCAGTTAATGA